CCATCTCATAATCATCAGATACTAGCCTTCCTTTATCATCCCTCAAGGATTCTACCCCCCATCCTAACATTTTGTTTATGCTTACTGTATTTAAAGAAATTCTTACTGTTAATTTTTACATTTTCAGCCAACTTTTTTTCATAAATCCTTTTTGATTTCCTAATTTCCTGTTTCACCAACTTTCTTGATCTTCTATAATCTTCTAACTCTCCTGTCATTCCAGTCAATTTAATTTTTTAAATTTATTATGCTTTTCTTTAATTTTATCTCTTAAACTCTTTGTAAGCCAACCTGGTTTTTTACTTGCAGTTACCCTTTTCTTTCTATAAGAAATATGTTTACCTTGAATATTTAAAAATTTATCTTTAAAATTTTTCCACATCTGATCAATGTCTCTAAGTAACTCAGCTGCCCAATTCACAACAGATAATTCTTGTCGCATCCCTTCAAAATTGTAACGAAAATATCATTATTCCTTATCTCCTTATGCAGCAAAACATCAAAACTAATAGAGCAATGATCACTTGCACCCAGATGTTCCCTACTTTCCACCCTCTTGATCATTTCTGTATTGGAAGTTAACAATAAGTCTAAAATAGCATTGTTTCTAGTTGGTTCCTTGACTAACTGGTGAAGAAAACCATCTTGAACAGTTTCCAAAAACCTTTCTCCCTCATGTTTTGATTTTAAAATTTCTCAATCTATATGCCTAAAATTAAAATCAACCATAATTATGACTTCATTACCAACTGAAATCTTAATCTAATTGTAAAGTTTCTCACTAATTTTATCAGTATCATTTGGTGGTCTGTAACAAATTCCCACTAAATACATTTTCCCTTTATATCCACTGATAGAAACCAAAATGGCTTCAACTTCTTTGCTATTATCTTTGATATTCTCAACTTCAATACCATGTAACTCACATTTTACATATAAAGCCACTCCTCCCCTCTCTTGAATACTCTATCCCTATTAAATGGCCTGTAACCCTGTATTTCAAAGAAATTTCTGTCATCAAAATCACCTACGTGTAACCATGTTTCAGTAATACCCATTATATCAAAATCCTCCATTCCTACCAGTGCTCTAAAGTCATATATTTTATTTCTTATACTTCTAGCATTACAATAGTAACAAGTAAGCTATACTTCTATACTTGTTTCCTATGCTAAACTTTTCTCTGCCTCTTATTCTTTTTGCATTTAGTTTTTCCTGCCCCTCACCACTGTCTGGTCCTAGTTTTGTAATGCTTTTCTTTAATTGTCCTTCAGGTTTCTATGTACATCATCTAGTTTAAGTATGGCATTTGTCTTTTTTTTTTAACAACCTTAACTTACTATTAGTTGAAAATTACATGCTTTACATTTGTCAAAATTTGTCCTTAAAATTAGCAAAGGTTTCCCATTTCAGACAAACATTCCCAGTCAACAGTGTTTCAATTTTCTTCAAATGTTCCTTTTTAAAATTTTTCATAGCATCAATGTTAGTTATTCTGAGATCTAGAACAGAAATATTATTAACTTTGATCTTAATATACTAAAACCTTAAAGTTTTAACCTAATGGCTAATTATACAATGATAATTAGCCCTTAAACATTCTCTCACCTAAACATTCTGAACAGTAACCTCATCAGTGATTTATAATAAATTCAAAATTTATTATCCCTGTTTGGTACCCTATATTATAGTATTATACATAAAAGGTTCAGGCATGCATGATTTATCCATAATCAAATACCATGTGCTTATATTAATATGAATACTTTATGGAAACAAGAATAGTTTCACTGAATAATTACATCACTTCCAAATTCCAAGAAAGGAATAATCAAACTGATCCTCAATATTGTCTAATTACATCTAAAATTTAAGTAAAACTAAAACACAAAAAGGTTGATATTGAGTTATGACAACAAGTACAACCTAATGAGTTCTGAGCACGTTTGTGAAACTCAGTTTAAAACTTACCACTTTTGTTAACAAGAGTTAATCTTGAATATAGTTAAATAAGTATCACAACATTAGTTCTTGGTTGTATTATTAGTCTAAGCCATTTCTTACTTAGGAATGGTTGAATTATTGATCGCAAACTCTAGCCAAAGAGTTAATTAGTAGCAATAGAATTAAAAATATTTGAAAAAGTTTAATATAAATTTGAGTGATCCACAAAGGATTACAAAATAAAATATTGAAAATTGCAAACAAAGTATAATTTAGGTATGATTAACATAATTCATAACCCATTTCGTCATTTTCTTTCGGCAAATTCGGGCCTACCTCTTTTACTTTTAGTGTTATTATCGTTTTACTAAGAAAAAAAATGCATTTACCCAATCACGTTCCGTTATAGAAATTTATTATTACTGAAAGCTGTACAAATACTGTTAAATTTACCTTTCAGAATGCTATTACTTTTCAACGATTTCCTACAAAAAATTGTTTTACCAATTTTCTTGAACTTAATAGATAATATATAGATTAATACATAAATTATATTATAAGCATAGGCTGAGCACCTTAAAAGTGAAAAAAATCTGACCTTAAAAGTGCGTCGGGCCCTCTAACGGTAAGCAATAAATTACTATTTGATTTTCGGGTACATTATGTTTTAATAAGGTGAACAGTTTGTTATTAGACATTCAGTTTATTAGTTTGTTGTTAAGCGCAAAGCTGCATAACTGTCCATCTGTGGTGTTAATCGCATGTATCGAAACTCAATTTTTAGCGTTATTAACCCTCAAACTTAACACTAAGCCATCGGGAGCCTTACAAATAGGAAGAAACGTCTTTATAATTATCAGCGGTTAATCTGCAAGCTTACGACACTATCAAGTGAGTTTCGATACCCGTAGTGGTAGAGCACAGACAACCGATTATGTAACTTTGCGCTTAACAACAATAAAAAAAAAACACAAACTAAACACAATTATCAGTTTTCGACCTTTCTTGAAGGCGATATAAATATTTATTTTCTTAATAGAATGTTTTTATATTTGTGGCAAAGATACTAAGGCTGTCTGCTCACGTCCCTAATTTTGAGCTGTCGATTAGAGGGAAGGCAACTAGCCGGCAGCACCAACCGCAAACTTTTAGGCTACTATTTTACCAACAAATAATTGGATTATCCTTCATATTATATCGTCCTTACAACTACTATAAGGATGAGCATGTTCAATGCCACGTTTCGATCCCGTAATCAGAATATCGTAAGTCACGTGCTCTAACCACTAGGCTCTCTTAATATTACGTTTAAACTAGGTAGCTTTGATGTCTGAAGTCGGGAAACGAAAGTTACTCTGAACGTCAAGATTAATCATTTATCGTTACCTCAGGCTGTTGATAGCCATAAAGACACTTCATCAGATATTTCTGTTTTAAATGTTATATTTTTCTGTGACTATCCAAGCAAAACATTATTTAATGACTGTTAGACATACACGACTGTTTAAGTTTAATGTGAGTGTTATGATTTAAATGGTTTAAGTATAGCACGATGTTAAAATTGGTTATTTTTAGAAGCGATTATTTATCGCAGGTTTGTTTACGAAACTATGTACGAATCATACGTTGTGTAGTTCAATTGTTGAGAATTGGCGCTTGTTGTATTATTGCGTCATGTTACTAGATCATTTTAGAATCTAGATTTTTCTCGTTGTTTTGATTGAGCATTGTTTCATTATAATATCTCGTAATATGTAGAACGTTCTAAACTTCAGTCAGGCTATAAATACACGTACAAAATGTAGTTCGAATATGAAATAGTTAGTTATATAGTTATATAGAAAAGATAGCTATAGACTGCCTGATTGTAAGTTTAGCCATAAAAAGCATACAGTGGCGATTTTTAAAGTGAAAGTATCACAGATTGTATTGCAATAATAAAGTAGAGAAGAATAATTTGTCTTGTCAATTGTGTTTCAAGTAACTGAACCAGCTGACGAAAACAGACGATTGTTTTAACCTTTGGATACAACTGTGGTAACTAACTATGTAACGAACATTTGTATATACATTTGTCTGATTTTAATATATTATTTTGAAACAAGTGGACTGTGTACTGTTTCTTGTTGAACTTTATCGCCAACAATTCACAGGCACCTACTGTAAAAAATCCAGCCCACACATACATAAAAATCTGACAATGACAGTCTTATGAATTACAAGAGAATTATGTCATTGACGCAGAAAAATATACTAAAGATACATCTAGAAATTAATATATGCAAAAAACTTGACTGATTACTAAAATCACTTACTTAATAATTAAATCCGTTCTAGAAGATGTGATACCTTCAGGTACTTTTATTTCCTAAAGGTAAGCATAGTGATCACTTTAAACAAGAGGTTTAGTATTAACATTGTTTTGCAGAATTGATCTAAATTTAGACTTGTTTGAATTAAACAAGAAGACTCGATAACCAGGTTTGACATTAAGACAAAACATTTCTTTATTAATGAAAGACAAAAATTCATCACTCAGTTCAGTTGGGCTCACAGTATAAACGACAGTCACTACTCAGACTTGAAAAGATCTTGTCCGGTCGCTTGGAGACAGGCGTGGCTTAATGGTTAGCGTGCCGGACATTGGATCAAAAGGTCCAAGGCTTGCACTGCGATGCCGTTAAACACGTTTTGTACTTTCAGATTTAGGTGCATTATAAAGGATGACAGCAAATTCTGTTGTCCTTGTGTTGGCGAATGCTTCTGACTGGTTGATATCCCACTTGTCTGAATTTTAAAATTAAGACGACTATACTCAAACCCTATGGCTCTCTGCACTGATAATTGACTCAATGTGCATTGAAATGTTGTTTATGTTGAAATTATTATAAATAACTATTATCTTAAACTGGACATGACGAATTTTCCGAGAGTGCATTTTTAACTCATTTGCTTGATCATTTATATTAGCAAAAATAAGGAAGACAAAACTTTTAGGGTTTCTAAACCACCTCTATACGACTGATCTAACTTGAGAACCCATTAGCACAAAGGAACCGTTAGAAACACGATAAGTGAATGGATCTTGAGAATGTGTAACTGGTATAAGAATAAAGTCAATGCAGTCCACACGTAAGTGCGAGTTTTTGTTTTTTTATTACTGATTTTGGTGAAAAAAATGCTGATTCTTCTAAATATAAGTGAAAGAAACAGCTGGTATGTCTCATATACTACAAAAATATGAATAACTAAAATATTGTTGCGTCAGCGAGTCACATGACCACCGTGACGCAACGTTTCTAGAACTATCATGTACTT